CAAGCTGGATTCAGAAGAGGGTGTTGCTGATGTCAGATGGATCTGTGGTAAGCAGAGAACATCAGAAAGGTATTTACCTGTGTGTTATTAACGAATTATGGATAACATTTCAAAAAGTGAGAATTCCGGCACACTTCATTGTGCTTATGTGAAACCTGTACATAGAACAAGAGGTAGTCATTCAAACAGGTCAAGTGGGTAACTGAGTGCTTTAGATCGGGGAAATAAATGTGTATTTCAGGGTTGTACCCTTTCACCACCGTACTTATTTAATCTGTACGCTGAGCAAACACTCTAGGAATCGACCATGAAGAACGAGGCATCTGGGTTGGAGGAAGGCTTATTAACAATCTGCGATATGCCGATGACACACCTTGCTTGTTGAAAGTAAAGAGGACTTGAAGTTACTGATAAAGATCAAAGACTGCAGTCTTCAGTGTGGATTATACCTCAGTGTAAAAAGACGAAAATCCTCACAACTGGATCTTACAAGCAACATCACATTAAATGGAGGAAAGATTGACGCTGTCAAAGACTTGTGTTCACTTGGACCCACAAGAACCAGCAGTCAGGAAATCAAACAACCTATGGCATTGGGGAGATCTGATGCACAAGACCTCCTTAACGTGTTAAAAAGGCAAAGATGCCAGTTTGAGGTCTAAGGTGTACCTGACCCAAGCCATGGTATTTTCAGTCACTTTATATGCAAAAGCTGGACAATGAATAAGGAAGACTGGAGAATAATTGATACATTTCAGTTATACCACGGGCTGTCAGAAAAACAAGCAAATCTGTCTTGAAAGAAGTTTAGTCAAAATGTTCCTTAGAAGTCAGGCTGATGACATGTCACCTCATCTACTTTGGACATGTAATAAGGAGACAAGTCCCTGGAAAAGGACATGCTTGGCATATTGCTGTTAGCGCCATTGAATCAGTTCTGACTCATAGCGACCCTGTATAGTGTTTCTGAGGAGTAGATGGTGAATTGAACTGCTGACCTTGGAGTCCAGTGCATTATCCACAGCGCCACGCCAGGACATCATATATGGCATGTTGTTGTTGTGAGGTGCCGTTGAGTCAATTCCAACCCATACACCATGTATAGGGTTTCCAAGGAGCAGCTGGTGAGCCTGAACCGCCAACCTTGCAGTTCAAACGGCTTGCAGTCTGGCGCATTAACCCATAGTGCCACTAGGGTCAACAAAAAGAGGCAGACACCCCCCTCCCCCCCGCCCCACAATGAGGTGGATTGACACAGTGGCAGCTGCAATGGGCTCAAACGTAAGTATGTTTATGTCATACATAAATAAGTATGAGGTGGCACAGGACTGGGAAGTGCTTCATTCTGTGGTGGACAGGGTGGTTATGAGTCGGAACCAAATCCACAGCACCCAGCAACAGCCAAAGCCTCCAAAAATCACGTGGAAAGACATTTCTGTTAGTTCAAGTCGCCACCTACTTGTTTGTGGTGCCTGTTACAGCGACGACGATAAATAACTAAGAATTTCTACTTCTGTAAGAATACACTTTGCCGTATTTCAAATGCAGTGATTGATTTCTCTCTGGTCTTCCGTACTCATTGTCGAACTTTCGCCTGCATATGAGACCATTGAAAATACCATGGCTTGGGTCAGGCACACCATAATCCTCGAAATGACATTTTTGCTCATCAACTCCTTAAAGACGTCGTATGAAGCAGATTTGCCTGATGTAAGCATCTGATTTGTGGTGACTGCTGCTTCTATGAGCACTGACTGTGGACCCAAGTAAACTGAAATCCTTGACAACTTCAATCTTTTCTCAGTTTACCATGGTGTTTGTGAGGAGGAAGTTCCTTGTCTCTACAGCTTCTGTGTCCTGGTTCCTTGGAGAACTTCATGTGGCTAGGCATCTGTTAACCCCTACTTCCTCCTTGGTTAACCTCTTGATTCCTCAAAAGAGAGGCAGCCTACACGAATCCTGTCTGCAACACCACAGAGCCTGCCCATTCCTACATGAAATTATCACCGTAAGCACAGAAGTGAGGACTTTCAACACATATTTGGGGGTATGATTAAATCCATACAGCCACCAAGAGAAAGGAAGAAGCTGTAAAGAGGAAGAAGGTGGTGGAGATTGTGAGGTATGAGGATGGGGAGAACTCCAGCCCATTTCAGGGGTAGGGGACACTCCCTCATGCAGATATGTGCGGGAATGTAAATGAGTTTGTAATTATTTTTTAAAAGTACACCCTTCACAGTAAGCAAAATATTAGCTGCCATCTCTGTTCTAGTCTGCTTTGCTCAGGGTTGTGACGTGGGTCCTATTTGTGTCTCTGTTCCCTCATGGGGAGGGGACATTGAAGCGGCTCCTGGACTCACAGTGTAGGTCTCTGGACTACCTGGTCCAGGTAAACTCCAGGGAGTGACGACTGAAACCCAAGGGTCCAGGCTTCTTCTGAGCTGCCACTCTGCCCTCTGGGGCCCAGGCATGTGGCATCATAGCCCTGCTCCCGCCAGCAGCTCTAGCCTCCTCAGACTTCAGTCTATGTCGATCAAAGGACGAAGAAGCTGACTTTGTTTAGCTTTGCACCTCTCTGAGAGCATTGATTCTGACTGGCCACCCCTGGGTGCAGAGAAGAACTCCACGGAGATCTCAAGGCTGCCACCTTTCAAAAGCAGATCTGCAGGCCTGTCTTCCTAGGCTCCTCTGCATGGGTTTGAACCACCAACTGTTTGGCTAGTAGGTCAAGCACTTAATTTTCTGTGCCACCTAGAGACTCCTCAGCTTGCTAGCCGTGGATTCGGTTCTGCCTCATAGCGAGCCTGTATAGGGTTTCCGAGGATGTCAGTCTTTATGGGAACAGAAAGTTTCACCTTCCTTTCCTGCCTGATTGTTGTTAATTGCCATCAAGTTGGTTCTGACTCATAGCGACCCTGTATAAGGTTTCTGAGGAGCTGCTGGTGGGTTTGAACCACCGACTTTGTGGTTAGCCGTTTAGCCTTCAGTGCCTCATCAGGATTGATGGTTACTGGGATTGATTTTTTTTTCTTGCTCACTGGACATTTGCATTTGTATGTGCACACACGTGTCTAGGTGCCTATGTGTGTGTCCACATGGACAACGTGTATGTGTGAGCACATCTGCAATGTGTGTGCGTATGTGTGCACATGTATTCATGCCTTGCATGTGTGAGCATGTAGGTATGTGTGTGAGCGCATGAGCGTACATGCCTGGTCATCTGTGAGTGTGTGTGTGTGTACATACCATGTGCATGTGACCATGTGTGTGTGGACGTTGAATTGTGTACTTGCCTTGTGTGTATGACCATACCTGTGTATGTGTGCATGTGTTTATGTGCCTTGCCTATGTGCAGGCATGTATGTGTGCACACACCTGTACACGCATGCAAACATGTGTGCTACAGTACATGTGTGTGAGCATGTGTGTGTATGTTCACATAGTCCTGTGCAGGTGTGAACATGTGTGTGCATACATTCCTATGCACATGTGCGATCCTGTGTGTGCATGCTTGTAATGCCTGTGCACATGTGAATGCATGTGTGTGTGCAAGGGCATACATGTGTATGAGCATGCATGTATAGTCATGTGCATGTTTGTGTTGTGTGCTTACGTGCCTGTGCACATATGTGAGTATTGTCTGCTTATGGCTTTTCCTGTCTCCTTCAATCCTCACAACAGCCCCAGAGCCAGTGAGTCCTCCAGTGAGTGGCCCAAGCTGACTGAGGCTGGGACATCTGAGGAAGTGGCCCCCGGCTTCTAGATCTAGGGAAGATGGGCAACCCCAAGTCTCAGTTTCCCCCTCTGCAAGAGTGGGTAATGAGAGTTGTCCTTTCCATCCTGAGTTGCAGTTCTGTGGGGCGCAGCTCGCAAAGAGCAACTTTGAGTCCAGCCCAGTTTTGACTATTTTGAGCTTGCTCTGGGACCTCTCCTCAGCTGTTTGGAGGGGTAGACATCCTTTCCTCTCAGGGCTGTCATCTGGCAGGAGAGAGGGACCAGTGAAGGGAGAGTGGCAGTGTACCCCCTACCTCTACAGCCCAGGGGAAAAGCAGTAAACACACACCTTGGGGCTGTGATCCCCCTGACTTGTACTGCCTTGCGGGAGCCACTCCCCATTGCTTGTCTGCTCCTAGGGTGTGAGGGGGTCCCTGGCCCCTGGCAGGGGTGCAGGACTGCTCTCCCCACAGACGACAGCTCAGCTCTGGGCTCTCAGCCACTTCGCCCACCAGGACCCTCCCTCTACCCCTCTGCCCTGTGTCCCCCTCTGGGTCTCAGACTTGGCTGCTCAGCGTGCCTGGAGTGTTGGGGGAACTGAGAGAGTGAGGGTGTAGGGCAGTGAGGGACAGACCTTTTCCTGCCCCTTTGGGAAGCTCCGCTCTTGGGGTTCTCCCACCCTTGTTCTCTGGGGGAGACCAGGCAGGTCTGTGGACCAGGCCTGAAGGCTCCAGGAGGGGCAGGTGGGCTGACTCAACACCCACAAGTGGATGAGGGACTGCAGCTGCTGGGACAAAGCTGAGACAATGTGCCCCACCTGGGGCTGGGGTACCAGACAGCTGGAGTAGATTTACTCTCAGTTTGGGAGGCCGGAGTCAGAAATCAGGGTGTTGCAGGGCTCTTGGGGAGCCCCTGTCTCCTCAGCTCCTGTCTCTTCCGCATTCCTGGATGTCCTTGGTGGTGGCAGTATTGCCCCCATCTCTGCCTCTGTCTTCACATGGCCCCTCCCTCTGCATCCTTGTCTTCTTTGATGGAGAGTCCTTCCTGACCCAGTGTGGCTTCATCTTAACTTGTCTACATATGCGAAGACTCTGTGTCTAGGGTTGGATGTGGACAGATATTTTAGAGGTCACAGTTCAACCCATAAGCAGTCTGAGGCTGGTTCTGCCATGTGAGGTGTTATGTGTAGGGTTCCTGCTATGCATCTTAGACCTCCTTCTGCACTTGAACACCCCATCCCCAGGCCCCTGGAGGGCGGTGCTCACTGCTACCTCTCCCCCCTGCAGGATCATCAGCTGGTTTGTACGCTCCTTCAAGTACTTCTACGGCCTACGCTTTGAGGTCCAGGGCCTCGAGAAGCTGAAGGTGGACCAGCCGTGTGTCATCATCTCCAACCACCAGAGCATCCTGGACATGATGGGTGGGCAGGGCTGCAGGGGTCCACAAGGGGCGTGGCGCTACTTCAGGGTAGAGGTGGGGCCTGTGACCAGGGAGCTGACACTGGGCAAGAGGCCTTGGCCCTCCTCCAGCCTCAGAATGGGCCAGCCTGGAGCTGGGTATTGCAGGGGTTAGTGTCCCTTTCCCCAATGTGGGCAGGGATGGGGGAGGCTGGGCTAGAAGCGGAGACAAGTGGTAGAAGGAGCTGCCCTCCCTGCCCGGAACCTGCCTGCTGCTACCGTGAATGGAGGCTCCTTGGAGAGGTTGACTAACTTGTTCAGGCAGATAGTGGGCAGGTACAGATCAGACCGGGCTTTGGGGAGGGGCAGTCCAGGGCTCTGAGCCCCTTTTCTTGGCTCCCACCCAACAGGGCTCATGGAAATCCTCCCGGGACGCTGTGTGCAGATTGCCAAACAGGAGCTGCTCTTCATGGGCCCCGTGGGCCTCGTCATGTATCTCGGGGGTGTCTTCTTCATCAACCGGCAGCGCTCCAGCACTGCAGTGACCGTGATGGCTGAAGTGGGCGAACGCATGGTCAGGGAGAACGTGAGTGCTCGGGGGGCACATGTGCACAGGGTCCCCCAGGACCCTACTCAACGGGACACACACAGAGGCGTGGGATCCGTGCTCCTGGTAGTGGAGGGGGCTTGTTCGAGAAGCTTGGGGGCGGGGACACCCATGACCTCAGTGGGGTGACTGAAACTACTCCCTGTCCCCTGCAGCTCAAAGTGTGGATCTACCCCGAGGGCACCCGTAACACAAATGGAGACCTGTTGCCCTTCAAGAAAGGTGCCTTCTACCTGGCTATCCAGGCCCAGGTACGGGGTGTGCCCTCCTGGGGACAGGAGCGGGAAGTGACCTGTTGGTTTAAGCACTGAAGGTGGCTGCTGGCATTCAGTGTCCCCTGTCCAGAGCAGGTGACAAGGCCTACCAACCCCTGGACCCCTCACCCACTCTGAACCAGAACTCACGTGCCCCATCAGGGGCAACAGGCTGTAGATGTGGGAGGCTGCCTCCCTTGCTCTCTCCCCCATGCTTCAGTGCTGGTCAGCTAAGTGGCCAGTCTCCCAGTAGCCATGGCTGAGGTGGACCACTGTGGTGTGGGGCTTCGTCAGAGGGAGCTGCTGGCCTTACTTTGACCCAGGTGGTCCTGGAGTGGGCGGTAGTGCCCAGGGAGGTTGTTCTGTGGACCTAAAATGGGGTGATTCCTTCTGGGGCAAAGGGTGCCCTGTCCCACCTCTGAGATGAGGGTTTCTCCAAGTAGAGGGGCAGTGGGGGGGGGCTCCCATCCTGACCAGGATCTGCCCCTGCCCCTGCCCCTGAGAGGCCGGATGGAAGCTCACATGGTCTCTGCTTTTCTCCTGCCTGAGGGGCGGGCTCTTGCGCCCCCTGGTGCCTGACCCTTTGTAAGGGAAGATGAAGCCCCCTGGGTGTGGGAGGGGTGAGGGAACACATGCCTGGGACTAACGCCACTTTCCCCAGTGTGGGCAGGAATGGGGAGACTGGGTTGTTGGGAGGAGAGCGGTAGGGCTGATACTCAGCCTTATCACCCGGTCTGCCCCCACCCCAGAACCTGCCTGTCTTTATCTGCCTCTGTCTAACCCTGTCTTGCTGATACCGGGGGACAGGTTCCCTGACCTGCACTTTGGGTTAATGATTACCCTGCGACATTGAACATTGGAGTCATTGTTGGACTTGACTCCCTGGGCTAGAGCTGTCCATGTGTTGTGGTGAAGATGTGGGCGGGGGGAATGGAGAGGCCACGAGGGGGTGGTCTAACAAACAGAAGTCCGTTCTCTCCAATTCCAGGAGGCTAGAAGTCCAAATTCAAGGCACCAGCTCTTGGGGAAGGTGTCTTGTTCCTCTGAGAGTCCCTCAGTTCCCGGGGGTCTGTCCTTCCCCACCCTGCGCTTGCTTCTTTGGGTGTCTGACCGGTTCCATTTACAGCTCAGAAGGGAGTGGCACTGATGAGGTCCCATTCCCAGATGGGGTCATGGGCACTGGACTGGGATGCCAACTGTGTAATTGCTAACTGATGGGGAGTCTAAGTAACCTCCTTTAGCTGAGTCAGACCTGCCTTCCACCCTGAGGGGGAACAGACCCCATGAGCAAGCACAGGTGAAGGGTGGAAAGCTTCCTAGAGGTGGCAGTACTGAGCAGAAGTGTGCAGGATAAGCTCCACACCTGGATCCCTCCAAGGGCTCTGTGTACCTGTCCTGCACTACAGGGCTCCCAACACAGCTCCCCCAGGAGACCTTCCTTGGGCATCAGGGAGGGCTGGGGTTGCTCTGCCAGGCTCCTGTCTTTCTGCCCTCAGGTGCCCATCATCCCTGTGGTGTATTCCTCCTTCTCCTCCTTCTACAATCCTGACACAAAGCTCTTCACCTCAGGTAACCATCTGTGCACATGCTGGTAACTTCCACTTCTAGTGGTCACTGTGGGCCAGAGTTCTGTCACGCACTGCCTACTGGGTGAATGGGTGGATGGTTAGATGGGTAAGTAGATAGATCAATGAAAGGGTAGGTGGATGGATAAATGGGTAAATGGATGAGAAGGCAGATGGCTGGGTGGTGGATGTATGGATGAGTGGGGACATGAATGGAGATGAATGGTTGAACGGATGCATAGGTGTGGGGATGGATGGATGGATGGATGGGTGTGTGGATGGATGAGAAGATAGATGAGTGGATGGATGGGTAGATGTGTAGATGGGTGGTTGGGTGGATGGATGGATAGGTATGTGGGTATTGAGTAGATGGATGGGTAGATGTGTGGATGGGTGGATGGATGGATGGGTGGTTGGGTGGATGGATGGATAGGTATGTGGGTATTGAGTAGATGGATGGATGAATGAGTGGATGGGTGGAGAGTCCCAGCAAGGGGAGAGCCTCCCCTTCTCATTAACTCTTCCAATAGCCCTGCAAAGCCGATGACATTGGTCCCATTTTCAATGAGGAAACTGAGGCTCCAAAGTGGCAATGGTGGTGGTCCTAGATTAACATAGATCATGCTAGAGGGTGTATTCCTATTGCATATGGCCACAGCTGACTCTCCAAGTAAGGGTGGTGGAGGCAGGGCAGCCTGTGTGACTTAAGGCAACAGAAGGAATCTCCAGCTCTCTTGGCACCATTGACCGCTGACCTTGGAGTCTCTGTCCCTCCCTTCCAAGCACCAGGTTCTAGGTGGGGTACCCTAACCCAGCCCCCAGGTGAGAAGGGAGGGTTAAGAGTTGAAGGGCAGTAAGTTCTGTCTCCTCCACACCTGAGACCACTGTGGAGGACAGAAGTCTGATGGAGGGGTGGGAGTCACCAGGAAGGGATGAAGGGGACTTTTTGGGGGTAGGTGGGATACCAATGTCCGAACCCACTGTGCCACGCGCACTCGCAGTATAGTAAATGACACCTTCATCAGAACAAGTCAGACACTGGGGGGACTTCCTCAGGGAGGTGGAGCGGTGGGTTTTGGAGGAGGGCTTCAGCTGCCTCTGCCCCTCACAGGAACCATTAAGGTGGAGGTGCTGGATGCTGTCCCCACCACTGGCCTCACCGTGGCCGACGTGCCCAATCTTATGGACACCTGTTACGGGAACATGAGGACTACTTTCTTCCGTGTGTCCAAGATGCCTCAGGAGAATGGGGCCAGCGGAAGAGCAAGAGTCCAGCCCGCCCAGTAGTTAAGGCCCTGGGCTGCAGGAGAGCAGGATGGTGGGTGCTGGCCAGAGATGGGCAGGGGACCCCCAGGCAGCCAAATAGTACTGTGTCTTTTCCCTCGTTCCTGGCTGTTATTGAGACCCGGGAACAGGGCAACCCCTCCTGTTGCTTCCCTTGAAGGGACACTGGGCTGAGCTCGCCCCAGGGAAGAAAGCACGTGTTCTCGGGGGTGAGTATCCGGGGGCTGACAGACTCAGCCACTGTGCCTCAAGCCTTGGGACCAGCAGGGCTCCAGGCAGGGGCCTGGAGGCCAGGGGCCCAGGCTTCGGCCTGCATCAGGTCTGCAAGACACAAAAAGCGGGGTCTGCCGATCCGTCCCCTAGCCCGGAGGAGGGCCTACAGAGTGGCTACTGTACTTGGCTGTTGTTTTTTATAAACCACTCGTGGAAATACCTGGTGAACTGTGGTCACTTGGAAAGGGAGCATGCTGTGGGAGTCCCCATCACCCCCAAGTATTGTGTAATACATAGGTTTTCAGTGAAGGTCAGGGTGGTGGGTGTGCATGGCTAGTCGCCTGGGGCCCCTTGGCCTGTCGTTGGGGGTGGGGCCAGAGTCATCTATAGAAATTGCTGTCCCGGCTCATTTGGGGTTGGGGAGCCATGACCCCGGAGGAGCCCAGATCCCCATGGACAGCTGGACTCCAACTCCCACCTTCCTCAGTCCAGCTGACCTGCATTGGGGCCCACCAGCATTTCCTCCCTCCCTCGTCTGGAGGGTGGGTTTTTGATGCCTCAGTAAGGATGCCTGGTGGTGCAGTAGGTTAGGCATTGGACTGCTAACTGAAAGGTCAGTGGTTCAAACCCACCAGCCACTCAGTAGGAGAAGGATAAGGTGGTCAGAAAGCCTGTATAGGGGCACTGTGAGTTTGGAATTAGCTCAGTGGGTTTTGGTTTCAGGTTGGACTCCTGGTATGGCGCTGTGGGATCAGCACTGCTATGTGAATTACAAGGTCGGCAGTTCAAATCCACCAGCTGCTCCTCAGAAACCCTATACAGGGTCCCTATGAGTCAGGACGGACTCGATGACACTTAACAAACCCTCTGTGGGGCTGGTCGCGTTAGAGTAGCCCAACCGCTCCCAGACAACAGTAGGCACCCCTTGGTATCTGAGGGGTGGCCGGGTGGACACCATCCCAAGTCTCCAGTATCCGCTCCTCTTCCCAGGCCTCATCTGCCTCCGACTGTCCCCCATGGGTACAGCAGCACCTCAAGTTTCATTTTTATTTGACAAAACTCATAGGATAGGGAGCCCTCGTACCTTCCCACAGCTGTGGGGGACAGTGGGTTACAGGGCTGGCCTGGGCTGGGTTGGCTGGGTTCACACACATACATGGGGGTCTATGCCCGGTCCTGGCCACCGCTGCCCTGTGGGCCCACCAGCCAGGCATGGATTGGTGGCAGCTTGCTCAGTGTCGGTGGCCGGGCAGGTGAGGTGCAGTCCCGACTAGGGTTAAGGAGATGAGTCCCACAGGCTCTCTCGGTTGCCAGGGGGCCTGAGAGTCACAGTTCCTTCTTACAGGAGCCTGGGGGGAAGACACTGAGGTCAGAGTGACTAGGGACTCCTGGCCCCTCAATAGATCCCCAGCCCTGACCCCCATCTGAGGCCCAGACTTGGGTCTCAGTGTGACGGACGAGATACTTACAGGCCCCCAGCTGCTCCTCCAAGAAAGAGATTTGCTCACTCAGGGAATCGATGCGTTCAAGCTGCCGGAACGAATGGGCCAGGAGGCTGCCGGGATCTGGGAGGCCAAGCTGTAGGGCCCTGGAAGCCAGGCTGTGTAGGGGAGCCAGCACCAACTGCAGCTTCTGCAGGGAAGTGGAGGGCCCGGCTGTGGGGGGCAAGCCGCACACTGGCCCTCAAGGGCTTCCGCACTGGACACCACCTGCTCACCTCACCCCCTACCTGTCAGACCCAGCTCTTGGCTGCAGAGCCCTGGACTTCCACAAGAGGGCCTGGATTCACAGTGTCCCTGGCCTGACCAAGCAGGAGACTGCCGGGGTCTGGGAGCAGCAGGCTCAGCCCAGCACCCACACCACCTCGGAAGCAGGGCCACCCCGACTGGAGCCAGAGCACCGACATGGGCACCGCCTGACCTGAGTCTCACCTGCTCCAGCATAGCCACCCTGGACCGCAAGCTCAGCACTTCCTGGTCCACCTGACTGTCCACTCCTGGAGGGGATGTGGTTGCAGGGTCAGTGAGGCTGGAGCCCCCGCCCAGGCCACACCTCCCCTGCCAGCTCCAAGGCTACTGGGCCAATGCTCCAGGCATGGGGGAGGCATGAGCCCTGATCAGGGACTTGGTTAACTAATGAGGGCGGTCTGGTCTACCCCACCCGGCCTGCGTTTGGCGTCCATCGGCGTGAGGCAGTGGATGCCGTCCAGAGCTGGGCCGCCGACAGCGCATTATTACTCACGGTACGAGTTTGACGTGTCACAGCGCGTACCAAAAGTAATAATGTCCCGTCGTCAGCAGGGGCTGCGGGTCTTGTCTCCTGGCGGCCGGGCAGGAGGACCAAGGGGACCCAGGCAGAGTCTTCTTCCACTTGACTGAGCCAAGACCCTGGCCACCCTCCCCACAGTGCCAGCAAAGTGCCCTTCCTGCCCCACCTCCCACCCTGGAGGAATGCCCGGAATGTTCCAGATGGGTCCTTTCAACTCAAGGCAGGCCTGGCATCCCAACTGTTGACTGGGCAGTTGCCCCCACCCACCTGCCCATTCCCCTGGCCAGCAAGAGGAGGGCTGAGCAGGGCGTTCACCTGGCCCAGGACTGGGGGGCGCAGTGGGGGGCCCTCCCATGGGCAGGCAGAGTGTCCCGTCGGCAGATGACTGGTGCCCCTCAGGACAACGGCACTGGTAGCTGCCCACAGTGTTAACACAGTGCTGGGGACAGCTCCCCCGTCCAGAGCCACACTCGTCCACATCTGCAAGGTCAGGAATGGGGTCAGGAGGGGCTGCCCGTACTTAGTCACCCCCAAGGATTCCTCTATAGCAGCCATCCACATGACCAGCCACCCCCCCTTCTCTGCCCCCACCACGTGGTCACTGTTCTGGGGCGGGCAGGGCTGTGCCTGTGGTACCTGTCTGGCAGGTATTCCCTTGCCACCCAGCAGGGCAGTGGCACCGGCCTGGCTGGACGCAGCTTCCTCCGTTCTGACAAGGTGGCTGGCACACTGCTGTTGGGTGAAGGGGCTGTCACCCATGGGGGCATCGGCTAAGGAAGGGGACGTTGTTCGGCGAGGAGGTGCTTTGCAGCAGGTCTAGAGAAGGGACCATTTAATAACTGGGCTGTCAAGACTCGGGTCCAGGGGGTCCCCGGGTCCTGGGTCTCAGAGCTAAAGGGTTACTACTGGGTATTAGGGGTTAGATGGGTGTTAGGTCCAGGGGTCCAGGGCCTCAGAGGTGTTGGGCCCAGGGGCGCTGGGTCTCAGGTTCATAAGGGTGTTGGGCCCAGGCGCCCTGGGTCTCAGGTTCAGAGGGTTGCTGGGCTTCAGGGTCCACGATCGGGCCCTCACCTGCCCCACAGGTCATGGGGAGCCTGCTGGTCGTCTTCCAGCCAGGACAACAGGCGTAGCGTGGTCTGGCCGGGGCCTGCCCAGGGTTGCGGCGGTAGGCGGTTTTGTAGATGGTGCTGGGTAGGGGGGAGAGCGTAGAGGGAAGGGATCTCTGTGAGTGCCATCTAGATCCTCAGCACAATACTTTCACCCAGAGCTGTCTCCCTAGGGTGCAGCTCGGGGGACCCGGGCCTGCATGTACCATCCAGTGGGGCTTACTACACCGAGCAGGGACTCACCAAGGCCCCCAGCAGGGCAGGGCAGGGCAGAGCCTCACAGTTCAGTTCCCCACCCTGCCTCATCCCTCTTTCAGCTCCTGCCCTGAAGCCACAGGCATTTCATTTTGGGTGGGGTCCATGCTCCCAGGGAAGCCTCTAAGGTTGGCATTGGGCTGCCCTTCACCAAGCCTGGCGCGCATGCGGGGGGCATGGTCCTGAATGTTTCTGGGACTGTCCCACCCTCTGCTCCTGGCCTGCTGTGCTGGGTCTGGGTCCAGTCACAGACTGTCAGTGTCTCACAGGGGTGTCTCAAAGGAAAAATAATGTCTCGAAGTCAAAATCCCATGGTTCAGAATGGGGTGCATGCATGTCCCATAAGCTGGTGCAGCGGGCTACCAAGAGAAGGCTGATGGCTGGGCCCCAAGGACAGGGCCAGGAAGATGGGAGGAGGTGAGGGGGCAAAGCTCACTCGAGCAAATAACTCGTAGACCAAGATGTCCTGCACCCCATAACTGGAGGTCCTTTGGGGCTCCTTCCGAATCAGCCCCATCATGGGGCAGGGGCATGTAAGGCCCTTTCAGAGTCCTCTGGAATGGTGCAGGCCCTAGGGCGAGGTTAGGGACCTCTGGTGGTATTGTGAATGCTTTACGCCCACCCTCAGCTCAGAAAGAGATCCACAAGGCAGTCTGCTCCGGACACCCTCTGGGGGCAGTCCGGCTGTTGACTAAGGGTCACGTGAGTGGTTTCCACAGCCAGGCTGGAGAGGGGGGCTGTCTGGTGGGGGAGAGCACTCACCGGTAGGTGCTGCAGGCTCGGTGCCCATCACAGGTGGTCAGGAAGGGCTGGTAAACTCGTTGCACAAAGGACTCGAAGACCACTGCAGCCCCCGGAGCCCTGACTGCACACACCCTTCGTCTGTGAGACACCTGGGGGTCAGTGAGGGAACCCCGGACCTAGGGCCCTTCTAGCCCCACCCAAGGGAACAGGACCGTCAGGGAGGGACTACACCCTCACCCTGGTGCCCGCTAGAGCCAGAGGACAATGCCCACCTTCCTTTAGTTGGGGGGGGGGGGTTGTTGGGGAAGGTCCAGCTCACCCAGGCCGGTAGGCATGGTCCGTGCTGCCCGCAGCAGCTAGCACCAGCAGCCACACTAGGATTAGCTCCCGGGAGCCCCGCGTGGTCATCTCTCCAGGGCTTGGCCTTCTCTTGCTCAGGGGAGCCTGTAGCACCAAGCAGTGACTCCCTGAGCCCTGGGCAGCCCTCTACCATGAGCAGATGCTGCTGTCCTCTCCCCATTGCCACACCTCGGGGACTAACACCCAGGCTGGAAGCAGGGGTCACTTGAGGAAAGTGGGGTATAGGTGAGTCTCTGGGCTAATGCCCTGCAGCCCCCTCATCTACACTATTCGATACATGGGGTGTTGACAAAGCTCGCTGCCAGGCAGAGCCTCACCCCTGCTACCTGACCTGGACCTTCAGAGCCTCAGTTTTCTCATCTGCCAAATGGGCACCATCTCTCCAGAGTGGCTGTAGATTCCATCAGGGGGCTAGGGGACAATTCCTGGCCGCCAGCAGGTGCTGTTAAGGGGTACACATGTTCCCAGAGGGGGCTTGTGTTTGGGGGCGGCTCATTCCCATGCTGGGCTCTGGCGGGTCTGGGATTTGAGTGCGCACAGCCCCCGGAGACCCCAGGACAGTCCGAGTCTGGATGAGACCAGGGGTGGTGCACTGGGGTAGTCCCCAGGCCACTGGAGTTGGGGCCGCCAGGTGAGGAACCCCAGCTCAGAATCAATGGAGACTTGGTGGGGGAGTATAGAGAAAGAGCTTGGGGTCCAGAGAGCAGGTGAGTCCCAAGGCTTCAGGCACCCCATCCAAAGCCATGCGTGTGCACTTTCCCCAGGGTGGTGTCTGGGGAAAAGTCCCCTTCTCTGGGACTCAGTTGTTTCAAATGGTCTCAGAGGTCCCTTCTGTCGGCTAGGACCCTAAATAGTGACAAGCATAGAGGTAGGTGGCTGAGCCAAGTCAGGCCCGCAGAGAGACAGGAAAGGCCACTGCTGCTGGGGGCTGGGGACAGCACTCTTCCCCACTGCCTCATACTGCCCCCCACAGTATGAGAAGAGAGAAAGGCAGATCCGTCTGCACCCTGCTGGTTTTCTGGCAGATGTGGGGGGAGGCTGAAGTGGGCAGTGAGACCATCTCAGCAGAGTAACTCCACGGTGGGGGTCCAGGCAAGAACGGAAGCGGTGGGGACTTGTGGACCACTAAGGTGGGAGGCTGGTGTAGGGAACCAAGGGGCAGGGGGCAGGACTCTAGCCGGGCCCCATCAGGCCCCTGGGGTGTCAACCTCTTAAGAGTAGATGAAATTTAACAACTATTCATCCACCCGACCATACTTCTTTAAAACTGTTTAGAAAAGGAAACGTACTTTTACTAAAAAAGAGACTTAATTTTTGAAAGTCATGCGTCGGTCAGACCACGAAGCTGCCCGGCCGGCCGGGGTGAGGGGCTCTCATTCCCCCTCGGGTTCACAGCAGCCTCTGGTTTGGGGAGCCGGTGGCGCCACCGGTGTGGTAAGCAATAACCTCCCTGTCCCCTCCGGGTGTCACCATGCCCCCCCCCACCTGCCTGACCTGCATCCCCGCTGCCCCTACCTGAAGGCGGGGCTTGAATCCACCCCAGGGGCAATGGGCCTAGATCCCGCCTCCCACCGAGAAGGGGTGTTTGGGACTTAGGGCCAACCGGGGGAGGGGCGGAAGACAGTGCGACAAACAGCGCTGGCTTTCCGACTCTCCACCGCCCGCCTCTCGCCCCTCCTTCTGTCCCCTCCACCCAGCAAGACCCTCTCCGTGGTGGGTGGGAGTGGAGGAAGAACCCCCACCTGAAACTCCCGGGCTACTGGTACCGGGCTTCCGAGGTCCCGGTCGGGCCCTGGGACTCGCAGGATCCGGATCAGGGCGTGGGGGTGGGGCTGCAGCGCCCCCTCCGCCCACCGCCAGAGCCCCTCGCGCGGGTCACCCGTCACCAGCAGGGGGAGCCCTTTCCCAAGGCCGCTGGGCCCATTCTCCCGACAGAGCCGCAGAATCGGGGGCTCGGGAAGGGGTGTGGGGTCCTGTGCAGCCAGGCCCCGCCTCCTGGAGGCCGGCACAGCCCAGCCGCGGACGCCCCCGGCCCGCTCACCTCTTGGGTCCCTACGATCTCTCTGTGTCGCCCCCGTGGGTGCCCCGCAGTTTAGTGGCCCGCAAGGTCCCCTACACCTCCTCCCCTGAGGATTCTAGAGAGTTCTGCCCCTGTTCCCAGCCCAAGCGCCGTGGAGGCCCCCACCCTCTGCGCTCTCAGCGACAGGGGACCGAGCGCCCTCTCCCTCCGCACTCACCGCCCGATCCCGGACGCGCACGCGCCACCGCCGCAGCCGCC